AGGCAGTATCCATTTCCTAGAAAATAAAAATAAAATATAATGCCCTTCACTTACTACTCATTACTAGATGGCCAATCTAAGCAGATCTGAACATGGTTATAGTATTTGTTTCGTTGAGAGAAAGATGTAGATTACCTGGCTGTCCTGATATTTTTGGCTGTAACACTAACTTACAGTCCTGGAACAAGTATGCTGTAAGTGAACTCAGAAGCAGAAATAACTTTTCGTAGGTATTTTACATAATCTCTGACATCAACCAAACTTTTTGAACATTCGTTCATGCAAAATGCCTTCATCTGCAAGATATTTGTGGGTTTCTGTCCATTTCAGATCCCTCCACAACATTTCAATGGCATTCGCATCCTTCTTCCACCACTTCCTATGAGCGAAATTAGAATCTGGTAAGGCGCATGGCCACCTTTTAGAGAGCTTTTTTTTGAACCTGTCTCGAAGATTCCACACATGTCAATAGCAAAGAGAACACCAAACCCTAAATATCTAAAGGTTTAAATAAGACAGATTGCACCTGGATATTTCCTAAGGAGATTCCAATCATTGACACCTAATCTGGAACACCGGATTTTAATTTCGCTCATATGAACTGGTGGAAAATGTAAGTGTGTACTTAGGCCATGTGACACATCTGCATGTTTGTTAAATTAGATGAGTGAATACACAATGTCACTTTTATGTATCATGTGTTTAGGTATATAACATTTATCTGTAGGTACAGCTTGAAGATCTAATGTTTCCCCCGTCCAAATATGTTGAAAAATTCAGCAATTTCTATTGGGTGTACTTACTTTTTCACATGATTGTCCAATATTTATTTCAGCACTTGTAAATCTACATTCAGAAGTGGCATATGCCTAACCAAGCTCTTCATTCATCTAGCTACCATATAGCGAAATATCCTATCCAAAAGGTGACCGGAACCCTGGCTGTTGCCTCTGCTCTTAACTCACACTTCATTATAAAAGAGCCATTTGCAATTATTTAATGAAAAAACTTTATAATGGAGGGGAAGGGTGGGGGGCATTAAAAGATTTAACTGTGTAACCATTCTGCAAATGTTGCCTTGGTTAATTTTTCTTATTTCTAAAGTTGATTTATTTCACTCAATTCCCTTTGTCTTCATTTTACATTCTGTATTATAAAAAATACTTTTCATATTGAAAAAGGGGAGTGGTGGTGGGGGCTGGAAGAAGAGTACCACCGGTGCTTTCAAATGACATGCACAAAATAATTTCAAATATATTTGCAGACTGACCTGGTACTTTTGTTAGCAGATACATGCAACAGGGAGCAAAACCTTATAACAAGTCAAATGCAGGAAAAGTCTTCAGGGAAAATGGCTTGCTTTGACTTAGTCTGAGTTCCATTATGCATTCACATTGACTTGTTTAGGGCAGAAAAGCAGCCAAGACAGAAATGCTCAGGTACAAAAACATTAAAAGGAGAACTATGAGGCGAGTGATTTTCACTCTCCTCATAGTTCGAGCTGACCTGTGACAATGAGACTGTCACAGGTCGGCTCAGTAGATCGGGAAGCGAGCGAACACATACCGGCGTTCGCTCACTTCCCGATCCTGTCACGTCTCTCTGCCGTGACAGGGGAGGGACTGGATTCCCCCCTCCCCTCCAGCGCTGACTGGTGGAACGGACGGGGGAGGGGGCGGGTACAGCTGGCTCTGCCTCTAGCTAGGCAGAGCCAGCTGTCACTCACGCAGTGAGTCGGATCCAGACATAATTGTCGGGATCCGCTTCAGCGTCTCAGTATACCGCGAGCTGTAGCTCGCAATATACTGAGCTTAGGGTGACAGGAGGACGCTAGTTTGTGTCCCGTTACCCTAAGGAGAACTATGGGGAAAAGCCCTAACCCCATAGGTCTCCTTTAAGGCTGGTTAGACATGGTCACCAATGGGCAGATGGGCAAAAAAAAAAACCCTGGTCCCTAACGTCATGAACAACTTTCTTCCCATAATCTCAAAAATATATTGGCAAAGTTATGCGTGGGCACCTGTATTACCTGAACTATCTGAACAGAGCTATGATTCCAGACGTAGCAAACAGGAAACTATCCAATCACTTTTTTTTTTACCCAAGTGCAGTGGCAGAACTCTATGAATAGTATTAAGAAGCAATATTGGACAGGCTTGCTGTCCGCTTTGGACAAAGTCTGCATTGGTATGTGTAGTCAATTATTGTACAGCCTCTGCCATTGTTCTGGAGAATCAGTGAATATTCCACACATCTAGACCAGTCAGATCTCCCTGTCAATGTGGATACACGCTTATATTATGGGATAGGCTGTTTTGCATTTAACAACTAAAGTTTGTAAAATGCACTCTGCCCCATTTTCTGTTTGAGTGGGTAGTTAGTTCCACGTAGCAACAGTAAAAAGAAGAAGAAATAAAAATCCAATGGGTAGCTTAAAATATTAGTAACTAAAATCATGCCCATAATCAATTACATACACCCAGTTAAGTGTTCGTACATACAAGCTTGACAGTAGCTCAATTTCATAGTTTTTTTTTAATCGAATTTCTGTGGCGGCCCCTGAGCCAGTCAGATGTTGTATTCAGAAGTATCATGGGCAAGTTAGAAAACCTATACCAATGACTTATTACCCAATTAAAAAGCCAAGGCCAGTTTGCATTCCCTCTGCATAGTTGACACTGGAACCTTGGCCATGTCCAACTCGTTTGGTGTAAGAGCGGTTGGATTGTGCTTGTAGGTCCAACTGCCCTCCTATGTCTACAGGTGACTTTAGACAGTAGGAGTAGTTGCGCCTCCTACAAAAGTGGCTAAAATAAGAAAAGAAAGACCAGTGTGTTGTGTTGATCTGCAGGATCGAAGCTGGCCAGAGATCGGAGATTACACTACTAAGATCCAAACCCAAAGAATCCTTCTTTAGAATATTTGCCACCTAAACATTGCATGCTTTTGTTGGCCTCATTTTGGAGGAACAATAACAACAGGCTGGGGAAACCTCGTAACTACCGATCAGTTCTACCGTGAGATTTGCTGGCCACAGTCTACACACACAAAAAAAATATATAGTTTAATTGAAAGATCAGCTGGATAACGCAACAATCATCTTATGTGTATGGACAACTTAACTGTCTTTCTGCATACCCACTTAAACAGTATCTTTAAAACATACATTTCCTCTTTGGCAGGAGGTACTGTCTTATTAACGAGTCATCAGCAGATCCTGTCACCTGTCCAGGTGTGTGCTTGAGGGGTGGGTTGTAATGACACACAGGATGTACACATTCCATCTAATGACACAGAAGGCAGGAACGGATTCCTAAATCTGGACCTCCCAAAGATAAAAGGTGCATCTACATGAATGTGTGTCACATGTGAGCAATTACACAGCATCGTCTAGGTCATTTTCCTGTACATGTGCCTGGCTAATCCAACACAGCACTGTGTGCTTGCCTGATCTGAGGAATCATTGCTGCGGAATGGCTGTGCTGTATAAATGATGGGTGTTGTAGATGAATTTGCAGTATTTACCCAGGGCACTTAAGACAGTCCACACAGACATTTGAATGCAGAGACCACGAATATAAATGGTTAACAGTGTGCGTCAGACTCCACTTTACGCTGCACAGCCTTGTAAGAAAGCTATCTAACTGTGACCTGGTAGGGAGGAGACTCTGGAGAGGTATGGGCTGGGAGGGAGGATAATAATAAAAAGGGAGAGCGCAGGGAGGGGGAGATAGCTTGGGGGAGAGGCCTTCCAAGAAAAAGCAGAACAGCCTGTAAGGGAGCTAGGACAAAAGGAGGAGAGGAGGGGGTAGTAGGAGTTAACCTGTTCACTGCAGATTTGTCTGTCTGCATATACATTCTGAGCCGGTGGCTGATAATACTAACAACCTTCTTTCATTTTATTAGCAGGTGAAATATATTAGAGTCTCCAATCCAATAAGAGAGACTATCAGTAGTAACAGCTCCTGGCTGACATACGTGACCACGCAAAGGGCAACCATTTGTGCGAACAGACTACTCAACAGCTGTAAAAGGAAGATCAGCATACAAATCCTGCCATTGTATTCAGCAGTTAGAAGAAAAAAAAAATAACACTAAGGAGTTAAAGTGTGCGCCAAACAGTCTTCCACTAAATTGCAGACACTCAGACGCTACACCGATTGAGTTAAATCAATTCGGGTTTGTCACGGTTACGGCCTGGCTGAGTCACACATGTGACGTGTACAGGAGGAGTTGATGACAGAATCTGATATGACCTCAGAGTGACACATGGCATTAGGGCGAGTCTCACCTGTTCCCAAACTTGAGAAACTGGAGACAGGCAAACAAGCAACTGACAAGCCATAGCTTGCCAACACAAAGATAGCTTGTATAGCTGAGGATCACCACAGTTATCTGCCGGTAAGCTGCACATCAAGCAAATAGACACAAAGAGACTGTAGTCAAGGAGCTGAGAATTGGTACAGACCAACTTGCTGTTGCAATTTTGTGCAACCATAAAAAATAAACATTGACACTGCTCTGCTTTGGTCCAACAATCCATGATAAAACTATACAATAATCCATAATACACTTTGTTTCTTTACCCCAGTAAAAAAGTGTTTCATTTTGGGTAGAGTGGAGAAAGGCTTGGTCCCCCTTGGTTCATGCCCTAGTGTATTTCCCATAGAAAGGCCAGTGACAACAAACAAGTGGAAAGGCAAGTTCACAGGCAGCCACAGTCATATCAGCTCCTGGAGAACGGGGGGCAATCCTTTACCACCCCACCCAAAACAGAACCTGTGGTGGGTTTATTTGGTTGCCTTTAATACCATTACTGCATATGAGCATAAAGTGCCTATTTTAAAAAAGGTGCAGGGGGTTAAAAAAAGTACCCATGTCTGCCTACCCATGGAAAATGACTCGAAAACCATCACCGTATGAAAAATAAGACAAATATTTAGCTGCATAGCTGTGATTACATAATAAAGCTCAAATATGACTCAAGAACTCACAACAATTTTTTTTTTGTTCTTTTATTGTTTGGGGGACGGCAGACGGAAGCAGTGCTGTAGGAGATGTACAATTCCTGTAAGAGAAAAGAAAATTATTGATCAAAGCACTAAAGAATCTCTCGTTTAGTACATTTGCAGCTACTGACACAAATGAAAAGGTTTGTGTCCTTCCTAAGAAACTTGGCGGTTACTGCCACCTGGTGGAATGGTCCTTTAATGAGAAATAGGCACAGGGGAATAGGAATAGTTAAAGGGTTGCAAGCATTGTACTCGAATGAGATGCTTTCAAAGCCGAGATGACAAAAACTGGTTATTTAGTATATAGTCCCCAGTATGTGTCCCCCTCTCCCCCACAAATCATAATGCCTTTTTCTGTTTCAATGACATGAAACAGAAAATATGAATTTAAAGCTATTTTCAATAAATAGGAAGGGGGGGGGGGGGGGCTCTTCCCCTCACTATTCTACAGTAAAACACACAAAAAATAAATTCACCAATGGTGTTTATATCTGATCTACCCTTCACATACAACCAGGACATTCCTGGGGATTCCTGAGTAAACGTAATTACTGAAACTTAAAACATATACTGTATGAGAGTGCTGCCTGTAATTGTATTGAGACCTAATTTGTGCTAGAAATGCCTGCTCTACGTTCCGTATACCCTCAAAATTCATCATTGACAGTATGCAGATATATGCAGAGGGTAACTAATGTAACAATATGTTCCCAATCTGATATATAAAAGAAAGGGGGCACATGCACTGAATGAAAGCGCATTTGTGTGTGTATAAAGGCTGCCAGAAGAGATGTGGTATGAGCAAAGAGCAGGGATGCCAGATGTAAGGTGGGTGAGATGTGTCAGAAGTGGGTGGAAATGCACAGAATAGGAGAATGCCAGAGGTTAAAGCATGTTGTAGAGGAAGTATGATCAAAGGGGACTGATGGATGACAAACAAAAAGATGGGTGGAAATTAGGGATGTCCCGATACTTCTTTTTTAAGACAAAGTACAAGTACTTCCCCTCATGTACTTGCCGATACCAATTACCAATACTTTTTCTTAAAGGGACAGGTGACATGTTTAAAAAAACAATAGACTAATGATTTTAGACCAATTTGTTTATGATTATGAAGAACTTTAATCTAAGACTGTTTTAGAACAATAAAACATCTAACCTATTCATGTTTTCAACTGCGATCGTGTGGGACCGGCCAGGGGGTATTGCGGCGGGAAACCGCGCAATCTGCCTGGCACGAATGGAGTATCATTAGAAAATAATGGCACTGCCAGCGCAATCGGCGGTGGTGTACGATTCCATGACCGCCCAGCCATCTGCTCGGTTTTGTGCACGATGACCGGGCGGTCATGGATTGCACTCCACCGCTGATCGCGCTGGCAGTGCCATTATTTTCTAATGGCACCCAAGTCGGGCTGGTTTTCATTTTTTTCCAATTTTTATTTACTTTGTAAACATTTTTAATTTTAATTTATTTTATTATTTTTACTTTATCGTGTTTTTATTAATTTTTTTATTTTTATTTAGTTACAATTTTAATCAGTTATTTTTTTTTACTTATTATTTTTGACTTTTCCTAACTATTTTTTTCACTTAAATTTATTGCTATCACACATGGGATAACAAACCCCTGTGTGATAGCATTTGGAGGTGACAGGTACTCTTTATTGGCCCTGTCACCTCCAACACAGGAGTTCTAGCACAGCACAGCACTGTGCTAGAACTCCTGTGACAAGAACGAGCCGGGGACAGGGGAGGGAGGTGACAGAGCCTGTCACAGATCCATGAGTCCAGCTCCGTCACTGCTCCACGCCTTCTGCCCTGTCACTGCTCCACGCCCCCCGCCGTCACCGCTCCACGTGCAATGGAGGTGCGTCACGAGCTGCTGATAGCTTTTTTTTATCCTCTCATGTGAGGACGACGTCGGCGGCGCTGAGCGGCAGAGCGTCGCGTCACTGCTGTGGGTGGAGCTCCAGGTCGCCGGCCAACTACATTAGACCCCAACTGGAGCTCCGCCCACAGCAGTGACACGACGCTCCTCCAGCCTGCCCAGAGGACCCCAGCCACCACGGAAGGTAAGAAAAAAAAAAACATAGCGCAAGCTTCGGCGCTAGGCATCGGGGCAATTTGACAAGTACAAGTACTTGTCAAAATGCCCTGTATCGGGCCCGATTCCGATGCTAGCATCGGTATCGGGACATCCCTAGTGGAAATCAAGTAAAATGTAACAAAACCAAACAGCATTGCATGAGTCTAGAATATATTCTGTGTTGCGTTACTGTAACATAACAGGGTAAGATCAAGTCACATGGATACAGTAGTAAGCCACAGGGAAAAAAAAAAAAAAAGTCCAGCTGACCACCAGCTGACCATACTATATAATCTGACTGTAGTCTCCTTTAGATTCATTATCAGCTATATAGTGTAAGAACTATAATTTTATATTAATTGAATGGTATATTAATAATTGACTATTTAGCTTTACCAAAACTACGTCATAAGGACATATGGAGATGTAAAGAAGCCAAAAGAGAAAAAAAAAAAAAAGTCCAGCTGACCACCAGCTGACCATACTATATAATCTGACTGTAGTCTCCTTTAGATTCATTATCAGCTATATAGTGTAAGAACTATAATTTTATATTAATTGAATGGTATATTAATAATTGACTATTTAGCTTTACCAAAACTACGTCATAAGGACAAACAAAGATTAGGATGTACAATCTGATTGTAGAACGTATGGCCAGCTTAAGCAGTACATGAAATAAAAGTGACCCTGCGCTATAGTAAACTTTTGAAGTCAAGGCATACTTTTAAAAGAACAGCGGAAATACTTACCCTTTCTGCTTCCCCCACTGCCAAACACCTCTTTTATCCAGAGAAATTCCTGCCAAATGTTGCAGGGAAACACACTTCTGGTAATATCAATCTGCTGGGCCTGCCACAGCTCACCGATTCCACGTACTGACCTCTATATTACTGCAAGATACCGTAACCTGGTGGTCAGCAGGGGGATCCAGAGAGCTGCAGGGGACCCAGGGAACTGATCCTGAGAAATCTTCTGCTGAAGACATGCTGTAGTTCTGTGGTGTGGACAGCATGAAAAAGTAGACATTTAGGGTAAGCATATGTTATAATCTGAACAAAACAAACTTTGTACAATCAACTTTAGGTTTACCAAAACTAATTATGAGGGCCCATTTAATCAACCCAATCAATTTGTATCCAATCAAGCAGGCCCTTGCACTACATAGTTGCAGGTAGATCTAAAGGATATTGTACAATTAGATTGTAAACGGTGTGGTGAGTATTCCACTGTTCTATTACAGGTATACCTTGATTTCAAAGTGAACTGCAGCTACATGGCGTTTCAAAGGAAATTACAAAAATATGGAGGCCACCATTGTTGACCTTTTCTTCTGACAATGCTAGTTTCTCTACTAGTTACTTTAATACCTTGGTGTATTTCCACTTTTGCAGTCAAATTTGAGAAAACCCCTCTATGTTTGCTATGTGTTCCATTCACACAGCATATTATAAAAACATACACACCTTACATTTTAGATGTTTCTTTAGAGCAGGTGTTTGGGCAGACTGCAAATTACTATGAACAATTTCACGGTGACTGTCCCCAAGACAATCAGGGACAGGCTGTGTTTCCTCATTCACATACAATGCAAGAAGGCAAGCTTCTCGATCTTTAACCCATTGTTAGGACAGTGTTCAAATCAAGATTATAATTGATACGATCTACCAGCACAGTACAGACAGTTAATGAACTCTGTTATACAGCTAGATATGTCTAGACACAGAAAAAAAAGTTATCAGGGCATAAAAGCATAAAAGTTGTTTATACTTCCAGAATAAAGTCTTGTTGAGCGCAGGAGGCCTATGTGCATCAGGCGTAAATACAGAAATTGGTGCACAATGACCTAAATACATACCGGCTTCTATTCCAGGGCTTTAACAATGGCGTCACATGCTTCCACGTTAATCTGAGCTTCTGCTTTTGCTACCTCATCTGCAGCACTCTGCCACGCTGCCTGTGCTTTTTCCAGGTTAGACCTTGCAGTCTGTCAGAGAAATATTAAAGGGGAACAACGGTCTTAATTTCTTAACTGGGGAAGGGGTAACTAATGACATATGCAGGCTCAGCATCTTGTATAATGCTCCACAAAGGCTGTGCCTTGCAGAAGCGGTTCTCTCAGTCACTTCTGCTAGACAAGGTCTACCGTATATACTCGAGTATAAGTGATCTCAGTTTTGCCAAACATTGGTCCTCAGTCTTCCAAACAATGGTTGTCTCCTGGTAAACCCAGGCTTCCAAACACTGGTCCTTTCAGTCTTGGAAAGACTGGACCTCTCCTGTTGATCTCAGGCTTCCAAAAACTGGACCTCTCCTGGTACTCTCTGGCTTCCAAACACTGGTCCACTCCTGGTGATCTTGCAAGAGGAGCAAAACCAGGTGTGGGGAGAAGCCAGTGAAGACATTGCTGATGTAGAATCAAGGGCAGCAAGGCTTACGGCACAGCTGACTGCACAGCAACTGACTAGAATAGTCAGGACCTGAATACCGTGAATTGCTATAATTGATTGAAAATCTAAAGGCATCACGTGAGCTGCTTTAATCTAATCAGTGTGATTGATCAGATGGAACAAAACCAAAAAGGTATTGGTTAACCAAAGGTAAAACTTTTACAAAGCAGGAAGTACATGTCTACTTATTCTCAAACACTTCTTGAATAGGATTTGTTTTTAAAACTACTCTTTACGCGTTATGCTTTTGTCTCACTGCAATTAACTGCATACTATACATACTTCACTGTTTTATTAGGCTATATACTACACAGTTCAAATATTTAAAAAATTCTTGTTCTGTAAGCACTAGAATAGCACTAGAAATATCATTTCCAAAAATGTCTGGAGTACTGGAGTACAGACTACTGGAAAAAAAACATACAGTTTCTTTGATAGTATTTAGAGCAGGGGTAGCCAAACTTCAACAATGCAGATGTGGAGTGTTGAAACTACAAAACCCTTCATGCATCTGTTTTTCATGTCATGTCAGTGGCTGTCAGTCTTACCAAGCCTCATGGGGCTTGTAGTTCCACAACAGCTGGAGTGCCAAGGTTGCCTACCCCTGATCTTGAGAATCAGGCAGAAAATGTATTAAAAATAAGAGAACTTTGAGAATGATTTTTTGTAGAAAACATGTTCAGTTGGGGCAGCAATGGTTTATTACCCAATCATTTTAATCCTGACATTTACAGACCACATTACTTTTTCGGATATGTTCTCTACAGATTTCCTCTCATTATACAAATCCTTCACCATATCTACAGGCCTATATGCAGGCCCGGATTTCCCACAAGGCCACCGAGGCCCGGCCTCGGGGCGGCAGAGCGCAGAGGGCGGCAGCGGTGACCTTGTGGGAAGTTGCGGGCTCCGGTGTAAGGTGTCCGCCGGCCGCAAACTACGGAGCCGGTGGGCGGAGCCTCGGGCTAACTACAGCAAGTCAGTGTACCGTGTTTCCCCGAAAATAAGACACTGTGTTATATTTATTTTGGCTCAAAAAAAACAAAACACACTAGGTCTTATTTTCGGGGTAGGTCTTATTTTCGGGGAAACAGGGTAGTTAACAATACAAAGTGCACAAATATTTGATATATTTGTAATATTTAAAGCATACAGCTCGGTTCCTCCCCTCCAAGTCTTACTGAGGCTGCATAACCTGTCTCCATATCAGCCCGAGAGGCGTTTGTTCATTTATCTATGTAATAAGTTTAGCTTTGTACTTACATTCGGATCCAACATGTCCAGTTTTACTGCTTCCTCAGCCAGCAACTGTACAGAGGAATCTGCATTCACGGTCACGGAGCCACTGCTCACTAAAAGACAAGAGAATGATGCAGTCATTATACTTCTATACATCTTCTGCACCAACATATTCTATCATTTCACTGTCATTATGATACTCTCAAGATATCAGTACTTTTATATCTGTCTATACAGAAGTAGTCATGGGTATCATTACTATTTTTAACCATTTAGCTGCCACGGACATATGTACTACATCAATGGCAGCGCTAATCTGTAAACAGACTCCTGGCCTTTATAGCCACCGGGAGTCTGTTTACATTTTTTTCTGCAGTCTGCCAGCTTTAATGAGAAGTGATTCGGGTGTCTGTAAAGCCGCTCAATCACAGCAATAGGCTGCAGAATATGGTGCTCGCTGCGCCATGCATCTTGGGCTCATCTGTCCCTTCTGGGTGCTTGGGGTCGCCCACGGCAGGTAGAGCTGAGGGAGTCCAGCGAAAGTCCATTCGCTGACCTCCTCTAGCTACAATGAACCTGGAAACAATGCCCTTGAACAATGCCCAAATAAACAACATTTTAGAAAAACTAAGCTCCACCATCCCAATGTACACGCACATACAAAAGTAAATGCGCACATATTTGGTACCGCTGAAACGCCAGAGTGAGAGCAAGAATTCTAGGGCTATCATTCATAGTTAACTCTAAATGTATGACCTGTATAGGCTTTCAAAGCATTGTTAATGGACAATTTAGGGTACTGTTTTTCCTGTTTCACAGGTGCACGCAATTTAAGGCTCAACATGTTTGATATCCATTTACCGTATTTTGCGCTCAATAAGGCGCACCTGACCATAGGACGCAGGGAGAATAGGGTTCTGCGACAGCTGTAGTTAGTGGCAGCTGAGACAGGTGGCGCTGCGATTACAGCGCCACTGTCTCCGTTCTACGTCTGTTCTACGGGCTCTATAGCGAGCTCCTATGCCGTGGTCACGGGTCCCCCAGAGGAGCAGGGCCGCCGAAAACCTGGGAGGGCAGGATCGCTGCTGCTCCTTTCATACAAGTGATCTAATCAGATCACTTGTATGAAAACAAGCGGCGGCTCCACACTATACATTTAGCTCTGTTTGTCAGGAGCAGGGCTAAATGTACAAAAAAAAAAAAAACTACTCCCCCGGCGCCCTAAACTGCATGTCCCGGGCGTCGGGCGATAGGGATTCCCTCAGCTCTCACACATTCGCTCCATAAGACGCAGACATTTTTCCTGCCTTTTGGGGGGGAACAAAGTGCGTCTTATGGAGCGAAAAATACGGCACTTTGTGCAACCTCAACTTTTTTTTTTTACCCACAATTGGCTAGAAGAGCACTAAAATACATATTTATAGTATTTTTTTTTACTGAAAATATGAATTTGGTAAACGGTTGTGCCAATATCATAGGACACAAAAATTGCTACTAGCACCATTTAATTCTTCTGGGTCTCTGCTTTCAGAAAATAGATAATGTTCTAGGGGGTGGTAAGTAATTTCCAAGCCTTAAATGAGCATTTTAACATATGTACAAAAAACAAAACAAAACTGGTTCTAGCAACTAAAGGGTTAAATGCCAGGTTCATGGACACCTTAATTCACACACTAACAGACTTAAATTATTTCATTTATAACTCGCATTACAAAGAGTATTTTCTTCTGTATACGGACAACGGCTTGACTGATTATAGCAACTTCACTGATGAACTTAATTTAATGTTGCTTTCATGGCACAGTTTATGCTAATTAACACAAACTTACTCGAGTCAATATTTTTGCCCAGTTTTTTTGTGGTAAAATTAGGTACCTCGGCTTATATTCGGGCAGCCACCACTCATATTCCACCAAAGCAGCCCCATCCCTCGTCGGTGCAGGCAAAAAAAAAGAAAAAAAAGCAGGCTGCAGCTTGATACTGGTTCACACAGAAACAATTGCCGCACAAACGACTGGTATTACAAGCTGGATACTGTTTACTCCCAAAGTCAAAACGTGCTGTAAACACACACAGGCTCCTCCAACTCAAACATGTTTCACCAAATGGCTTATTCATAGAGATATGAATCTCTATCTCTAGAAATAAGCCGATCGGTGAAACATGTTAGAGTTGGGAGGTGCCTGTCTGAGTTTACAGCAGGTTTTGACTTCGCGAGTAAACAGTATCCAGCTTGTAATACCTGTCGTTTGTGCGGCAATTGTCCCGTCTGCTACAGTCATATGTTGGGTATCGCAATGCATACTTGAGTGAGCAATAATTCTAGGGCCATTATTTACGGTTGATACTTACTGCATCAACAAGGTATCTCACAGGCAAACATTTCAAGGAAGAACGGTGTTTCCAGATGTGCGGTCTAAGGTCTTTCGCAGATGTACAAAGACACATCATGATGACTAACCTTTGCACTGGGAAGATGTCTAGTGCCATCATTAGCTCAGACGTGGCAGAAGCCAGTAAGTTTCTGGTATACCCATCTAAAGTCTGAAGAAGCATGGATGGAGAAATCCCCTATCAGGTTTATACTGCTATCTGGAGATCTGTTAGATTTCTCCCCGTTTTGCTTTTACTAGACAGGAAGCGGATAACTCTGCAGCAGCAGCACAAACAGAGAAAAATGGTTCTCTAGAGTAGATCAGGAGAACACTAGAGGCCCCTGTCAGAATAATTTGTCTCTATCCCAGTTGCAGATTTTTCCTTCACTTCCTGTCATCTGCGAGACAGGATTGTAAGTTTAAATCTCTCTAATGGAGCACAGGATAAAAGTGAAACCCAAACGGGAGTTCTAATCTTTCTAGAACTACTGTAGCCCAAAACTGTCCAAAGTCTTCAAAAGCTTTTACAGGTCATCAGTTTAGAGTTAGTTGTGAATAATGTCCTTAAACTATTGCTCTCACTCCAGCGTGCACAGCAATACCTGTGTGGCGCAATCGTCAGTTTCATACATAGGAGCACCAGATGTGCATGTTTACATTCGCATGTGTGTGCATGTGGGGTCAGGGGCCTTATCTTTTTCTTCACTTTAATGTTATCACATAGAGGCCTGACAAGCCCTTAACACTCGTGGAACAAGATGGAGATGAAATTACCTGCATTTAAAGTTTTAAACAGTAGGCACGATTTCCAGGAGGATATTTGGTAATCAAGGCTTTGTGCTGCTGGACACCTAAACTTCATGGGTATGTTTAATCCTTTCGCTGCCACAGTCATAAGGCTTACAATGGCCTGCAGCAGGCGACACCTTCTGCAAGCTGTGGAAGTGATCGAGTGGCTTCACAGTCACCCAAATCACTTCTAGTAAGAGGCCGGCAGGCTGCAGAATAAAAACAAGCTGCTGTCTGCTATAGCAACCGTGAGTTTGTTTACAGGTCCCTGCTGCTGCTGATATAAGCCTTACATTGGTGCCAGCCATAGGGTTAAAATTACCCATGCAGTTCCGATGTCAGGCAGTGAAAAGATTTAAATATCAAAATGTCCTCCCACAAAAAATGAACCTACTGTTTTAAATGCATTCCATCTTTTCTTCCACACCATATATAACGGTTTACACAAAAAAATCTTGGTGACAACGAAAGTTCTACTTCCAAATGAAACTTCTCATAGCACATGTGCATTACAATGAGTTACGATTATTCAAAGACTGGGAACCACATTCACTGTTAGAATTTCAATCTTTCAGATAGGAAACGAGAATGTCTTTCGATTTTTGGGCTCAGTAAGGTCAAAAATTATGAATCAAAAGTCTTTGATCTAAATTCTACCAGGGTATGGTTAGCTTTTTTGCCTTCTTGCCCTAGAGTGCTTTGTGTTTATGCTTTTAAATTAAGAGGATTATTTGTTATGATGACTTGGAATTCATTTAAGCCCTCGTTCACACCTGAACGTTTTGTAGCGCGTTCTACGCTCGACGAACGCTCTACAAAACGCTCAAAAATATAAATCCCATTGTAGTCAATGGTCTCGTTCCCACCTTGGCGTATTTCCGCCCGTCCCTAAAGCGCTACAAAACGGCCCACGCCTGAAAAGGTACAGGTACTACTTTGGGCCGTTTTGTTGCGCGTATCCCACAGCCAAGTAGCCTTCGGAAACGCGCAACTTTTTTACAGCGAATCGCGGTAAAAAAACGCGCGACAGACGCGCATATGCAATACGCCTAGGTGTGAACGAGACCTTAGTGTGTTGCATTTCATAGCTCATTACTCTTGAGCTCTTTAGTGTGTGTACCTTGCTTTTCTCTGACACGCTGTCACAGGAGGCTGATTGAGCGGTGTAGAGAGGAGAGCTCAGCCTCCTGCGACAGCGCCGTCTCCGCCCCCCACAACGCTCTGCCGGACTGTGATAGGCGGCAGAGCAGTGTGGGAGGAGACGCCGGCCGCTCACAGCGCTCTCCACCGCAGCACTCGGCCGGCTGTCACTTTCTCTTCTCCCTGCTGGGACATAGAGCAGCGCCCAGCGGGGAGAAAAGAAATCACGGATGCGCCAATGTATTGGCAGGAAAATGGCACTTTCGGCATTATGCTACCATATCAGCCTAAAGGGCAAGCTTACCCTTCTGACCATATTTTACATTACACCCATATTCAGGGTGCAACATGAAACATTGCCACATCACCACCCCACTTACCTTAATTGCAGAGTTCTTCCCCCCTGCATTTTTAAATTTGGCGCGGTTGTGTGTGGCCCCGCCAACGTAGCCCCATCATCCATTCACAGATCATTTGACAGGATCTGTGAATGGAGAATCCACAAATTTCGGTCCATACCCCATCGCACTCCAAAAGCTAAAAATGGGTGCTGTAGTGACCGCGGATGGCGCCACAAGCAAATCAGTAGGAATGGAGAAATCACCAGCACTCCTGGCTTCCAAGAATGTCAGACCTAGTTTATCGACATCCAACCAGATCTCACAACGTATGGCAACATTTCAGAATGCACAAAGGTTCTTTCTTCAGGCAAACAAAGTGATGTCACGTTTACTGGCTCCAATGCAAAAAAAATTATGCACATTTTTTCACAAATACACAAGGGTGGAATGTCCCTTTAAGCTAGGGGATATCAACAATAGTCAAAAAATCTTTCCAAATAAAAGATGAATACAGGGGTGTGGAATTCCTATCGCCCGGGACATGCAGTTTCGGGCGCCGGGCGAGTAGTTTTAAAGTACATTCAGCCCGGCTCCGGAAGCAGAGCTGAATGTACATTGTGGAGCCGCCGCCGCTCGTTTACTACAAGTGGCCTGATCAGACCACTTGTATTAATTTGAGCAGCGGCGATCGTTTCTGCCCGCATCCCCCGCCGTAGTTTTCGGGGTCGCCCGCTCTCCCGGGGGACCCCGAAAACTAAGGCACAACGGCTCAGCCATAGAGCCCGTAGAGCAGACGAAAAACGTCTGCTCTACGGGCTCTGTGTGTTCTCTGAGAACGTGGCGCTGTAATCACAGCGCCACCTGTCTCGGCTGTCAGGAAATACACAGAACAGCTGTTCTGTGTTGGAGGGCAGGTTCCATAAAGAGAACCTGTCACCTCCAAACTATCACATAAGGCATTTTAATCTCCTATGTAATAGGAAGAACATTAAGGGGAAAAAGTAATTAAAGAAAAAGTTAAAGAAAATTTAAAAAGTAAAAAAAAATTAAATATATAAAGATTTAACAAATGAAAAAGTAAAATAAATAAATGAAACCCTGCTGCCCCCGCCATCTGCATGCAAATAAACGCATGCGTAGGACATTCTGCATGTGCTTTGAGATTGCAGCCGCCATTCCATGGTGGTAGCCAGAATTCTCTTTTTCCAGGTAATATGGAAAAATAAAAATTAGCCGATGAAATCTGGCCCCGTCTCTCCCAAACCACCACCCCCCTGGCTATACTTACCTTTCGGCGAACAATCCCTCCCCTCCGCCAGTATGGGTGTACTATCTGTCCCCCGTACTGCTGTCCAGCGCAGTCCTCCCCTATGCATTTTGAATTTCGCTCGCAAATTGCAAGCACTCATTGGTCAACGTGGTCAGATGACTGCGCTGACCAGTGAGAAGCGCTATTTAGCACAGTAAAATATGTTTTGATTAGGGGTGCACCGATACTAGTATCAGTGCCGATACCGAGTATTTGGGCAAGTACTCGTACTCACTCAAATGCTCCGATACCTACCCCGATATTGGAACTTACGGCCAGATGAAAATTTCCTCTGACTGGCAGTGCCGTAGGGGAACATGGAGCCAGCTTCCCGTGCAATCAGGAAGCCGTGCGGCAAGTAATGACCCGCCTCCTGGTTTTCTGATTGGCCCGGGAAGCCGGCTCCTTGCTGATTGGCTGGAAAGCCGGCTTCCTGGCCAATCAGCATCGAGCCAGTTTCCCGGTCAATCAGGTCATTACTCGCCACCCGGCTTCCTGATTGACCGGGAAGCAGGTTTCCCGGCCAATCGCAATCAAGCAGGCCAAACAACATGGAGCCGGCTTCCGTGGCAATCAGGAACCTGGGCGGGATGTCATTACCTGCTGCCCGGTTTCCTGATTACCAGGGAAGCCTGCTCTATGTCAGCGGAAGCACCGGTATTAGTATTCAGTGTCGGCGAGATCCGAAAGCAAAAAATCGGTACTCGTACTCGATACCGAAAAACCGGTATTGGTGCATCCTTAGTTTTGATTAAAACTATTTTTTGTATTGGGACAAGTAGATTGTCGTGAAGGACAAGTAGATTTGGCCCCCACTTTAGCCCTTGGACAAGTAGTTTTTTAAATTTCCACACCCCTGGAATATCTTGTGGCATTGATGCAAAATTAAAGCATTAACTAGATACTTCATGAAGGCAGTGCTTTGATCTCATAGACACTCACCAAAGTACTTGATTGCAGTTCCATCCTCACCAATCACTGTGACAAGCCCAGGTCTAAGAACTTGCAATGTTGGGACATGATTTGATAGGATACCGAACATTCCTGTAGTTGTAGGAACATCCACTTGTTTCACGTTTGCTCCATTGTAAAAGACCTATGCCAAGGAAGAATGGTTATAGCTCCTGCCACAACAAAGTGTTTTATTTACCTGTATGCATTTTAGAAAAACAAATATTATATAGCATTTATATAGTGCCAATAGTTTGAGCAGTGCTTTATAAAACATTAATTGTACTTCCCACAGACTGTCCAAGAAAGCACATTAGTGAGGATCTACCCACTTATTATCTACCTAACCTAAAAAAATAAGATGCCAATAGATCTGAAAAACACCAACCGCTTCACAGTTCAAGTGACACTAAACTCCGGCGTTCGACCCCATTTACATTGAGCGACATGACATTTTCAGCGTGATTTTGAGCTGAGCGATATGGAGCTAGATTAAGCTACAGTGCACATTTTGTCAAAAGCGGTCTTGATGTGACATCATTCCTTCCTTCTTATATTTCTGTGCAAAAGCGACACTTCTGAAGCGCGACAATGTCATGCAATATCGATGGTAATGAGTGACATTGAGCTACACCATTGTAGTCTATTAAGGTCAAATTGCGCGAAATCCGCCGAAAAATAGGTCGTGTTCGAGCGACAAGCTTGAGCTACAAGCGACAGGTGACATTGAACTGAGAGATGTGGGCAGCTCCATTGAAATGCATTGGACGAGCTACATTGAGCTGATATTTGAGCGATTTTGGAGCTGAAAATCACGTGACAAATCGCTCAGTGTGAATGGGGTCTTAAACCTTAAAAGTGCATTCAAGTACCTCACCTATGAACAAAAAAGTATATTATTTGTGTATTACTGGACTGTGGATCCTCAAATTCATGCCGACACTGTCCCTCCTTCTGGAGGGTGACTACTTTTGTTCCCCATGGTCCCTGTGTGTTTTGTAAAGTAGCCATCGCTTCAAGTTCACTCCTGTGTTGCACTACAATCAAAATACAAATTAGAAAACTAAATGTGAGATTGTAGTCCATCACGGGAGTGAGCTTGGAGCGGTGGCTACTTTACAACACACACAGGGACCATGGGGAACAAAACTGCAAAAAGTTTTCTACTTCAACCCTCATTTTGGAGGAGCTTTGCAATTGCGTGAACCACCTTGCAAACCCCTTACTTTGCCACCAATGTAAAAGTTGCTATACAGTCGAATGGGCAAGTGCGGGCAGAGTCGAATTCTACACTCCCTGATGATTACAGCCGTCGTGGGACACAGCAGCTGGCATACGATGGCTCTCAGTCCGAGAGCAGAGCAATCATGTGACCTCTGGTCAGCTCTCAGTCACTGCTCCCCTCAGGCATTCCCCCCCTTCCTTCTCTGCTCCTCCAGCACTGCCTGGAGCGAGAGACACTGGAAGGAACAGGCACAGGTGGCTTTGGCTCTCAGCCACCTCAGCTCTCAGGTAGCATTTCTCACCATGACATTAAATTATAAACTTCCCACTGATACAGTGCTGACTGCTGTGTCTTCCTGTCCCATGGAGTCTGTGCATGTGCACGCTGCTGTGCTGCTTGCATTGGCTTCTGTCTGAAGATCTCTACTGCGCATGGGCCCACTCAATGATCCTTCTCGGCCGCTTGAGAATTCTTTAGATCTTTGGAGCGGCGGCAACACAGGTAAGCAATAACCTTTTTGGTGACTTTTTTAAAATGTTTTTGCAGATATTTACAGCTTGCTAGCAGTAGATATACGCAAAAAAGTAAGGTTTAATTATCCTTTAAAGGAGAATTATGAGGCAAGATTATAGTCATAATCTGAGCCGACCTGTGACAACGAAGGGATTAGAGCTGCAGCTAACGATTATTTTCAAAATCGATTAGTTAGCCGATTATTAAGTTCGATTAATCGGTTAATCGGATAAACAATAAAATAAAATAAAGTTTAAAAAATTGTTCCAGTGATAGGACTACTAGTTTGTAAGCTGTCTCTGCCTCTAGATAGGCAGAGCCAGCTGTCACTCACGCAGCCGGGTGGATCCAGACAGAATTGTCGGGATCCGTTCCGGCGTCTCAGTATACCGAGGTATACTGAGCTTTGGGTGACGGGAGGACGCTAGTTTGTGTCCTCCTGTTACCCTTAGGAGAACTATGGGGAAAAGCACATAGTTCTCATTTAACATCCAGTGCTAAACTATATAAAGTAAAACCCCCACCAAGGGGCAGAAATGGGGACTTCCAGTACAAAGTTTTGTAGGTCACATAAATGATCACATCACCCTTGCCAAGAATGGTGATGAAATGCAGAACTACTGTGCCAGCTGGGCACCCCACCAATGCTTGATTCAGTTTTTTTCATTTGCATAGCTAATGATGGAGGGGAAAAAAAGAATCACACAAAAGGATAATATGTAGTGGTCAAATCCCTGAGGAATAAAAAACACCATTTTGACCTTTGAAGAGAATGCAAACCTCAGTCTAAGGATGATTAGAAGGCATATGCAGGATAATAGGCACAGGACATTCCCATTTCACATGTAAAGCAATCATTGCTGATAGCCTTTGGTGACAGTGCCAGCTGAACGGTCACTAGGATGAAGAATGCCAAGTCCTCTATCTGTGTCTCTATAATGACCCACACCTCCACATAAGCAGCCCAACCTCCATAGCATACAACCTGGCTAGGGGATGCGAATGTGAAGCTCATGGCCGACGTCCCAGTAGATGCAGCTTCCGCATAGCTTCGTACATGACAGGTTAGAGAAGAACGAGCAAACCGGAGAGCTCGAGCGGACAGCATGGTGAAGCCGAGGAACTACTCTGACCGAGCCAAGGGCACCGGATACAAAGACAGGCCGCCGCGCGGGGGCTCTTGGGACTTGTAGTGTGACCCCGCGCTTCCCGCACCGCCCACTGCCCGACGCAAACTACATGTCCCGGCATGCAATGGGGCAACACCGGTGAAACGAAAGCTGGGTCAGTGTCACGGTAGTCAAGTGTTCTGATCTTAATACTGTACATCAGTAAAGGTTTATTCAAAGTCATGTTTACATAACTCCTAACTGTTCCTTATTAAGCGGGACTGTATCTCTTTTTCAAAGTCAAATAACGTTGTCACTCTTTTCACTTGTCCCTCCTCCTGGTCTGATGCATTGACTAGCATAAAAAAACATAGGAGGGATTTATCAAAAGAGGAGCAGACAGAATGTGGAGCAGTTCTGCACGGCAACCAATCAGCTTCTCTCTTTAATTTTCAAATCTTAAATTGAAGAGAGAAGCTGATTGGTTACTATGGGCAACTGCTCCAGATTCTGTCTGCTCCCGTTTTGGTAAATAACCACCATAGGGGGGGAATTTATCAAATCTGGAGCAATTCCCTATAGTAACCAATCAGCTTCCCTCTTCAGTTTGTTCAGTTAAGCTTTAATAATGAAAGGTAGAAGCTGATTGGTTACAATGGGCAACTGCTCCAGATTTTGTCTGCTCCAGTTTGATAAATTCCACTTACAGAAGTTAAAGTGACATTAAAGTCAAATTCCCCCCTCCCCCCAATGTTAATGTCAGCACTTACCGCCCCGAGATGCTTTGCGGCCGCCCGTGCAGTTTCAGATTCTCGGGCGGGAGCGCGCGGCAAAGACAGGGTTAGTTTAAACCACTGTTAAAGCGTTTTGTTTAAAAAAAAACTTTTTGCATATATCTACTGCTTGCTAGCAGTAGATATATGCAAAAAAAACCGGAGGATTTAGAAACCCTTTAAAGATGACCTTTACCCTCCAAGCTTACTTTCTGACATTCCACCCCTAACCCCCTCCTCTCTAAGGCCCCGTACACATTGAGCAGTTCGCGTGGTTTGCATTTTGCGCGATATTGCGCGATTTGTCACGCGATAGCGCGCAAATGCTTGCATCGAGCAAGCTTGAATCGCGGCTAAATCCGCTCCAAAAAGGGTCCTGCTGTAGCGACACACGACCCGCGACAGCAGGACCCTTTGCCCCATTGAGAAGCATTGGAGAGCGATATCGCGCGGTAAATTGCCGCGATATCGCAGGAATTACCGCGCGATAAATCGCTTAATGTGGACGGGGTCTTACAATCAGATATTTTTGAATTTCTTTTTTAAATACATTTTTGAGGGACCCTTCCCCAGACCGTCTGGATTCTCGCCTATGTTAGACTGATATATTCATTGCCAGTAGTCTACTGGTATACCAACATATTCCACAGCGCCGCAACTTGTCGTCATCATTTTTCAGTATGTTTGTAATCATGTCTTACTGTATACAGCTTTACTATACAAATCATTTTTGTGAAACTATTGCCTAGTTTTCTACCTGGCGATCCTGCCAGCAGGGGTGTGGAAATTTTGGAAAAAACTACTTGTCCAAGGACTAAAGCGGGGGCCGAATCTACTTGTCCCTCATGACAATCTACTTGTCCTGATACAAAAAAAATAATTTTAACCAAAACCGTATTTAGCAGTGCTAAGAAGCGCTTCTCATTGGTCAGTGCCGTCAGGTGACCGCGTTGACCAACGAGTGCTTGCAATTTGCGAGCGGAATTCACAATACATGAAACAGGTACAGATAGTAGACCAGTACTGGTGGACGGGAAGGACCGTTTGCCGAAAGGTAAGTATAGTGGGAGGGAGATTTGTGCGGGTAATTCCGTTTTCCCAAATTACTTGGGAAAGTGAATTTACCCTTTAGGGTTGGTGCAGACTTTGGGATTCCCAGGACGTGCGATCGTGTGCGGTTGCATCCGCATGTATGGGATTACATCTGCGTGGCAATTGCTGAAAAAAAGGTAGATGTACCAATTTTCACAACATGCACCGCGCAGTGTTTTCAACCGTGATCGCCCGCGGCGGTATTGCAGTAGGAAAACGTGCAATCTGCCTGGCATGACTGGGGTGCCATTAGAAAATAATGGCACTGACAGCACGATCGGCGGTGGTGTGCGATTCCGTGACCACCCAGCCATCCGCTCGGTTTCGTGCACGATGAGTGGGTGCAGGGTGCCAAAATGCTCTCTGCGTTTCAGCACTCGACATTGCATATTGCCAGCACTGTGAGGACAAGTGATCTCCTGCCCGACAGTGACAGCATAGTTCTCAATAACCAGCCTGCTATTGGCTATTACAAATTGAAATAGCCAATAGTAATCTAGCTATTCATTTCTTGTACTCGTGAAAATACCCCGATTCTTAAGGCCGTTACTGGCCCTTTAAATTTTTAAACAGCAACGGCTGTCTGAGTTTCCGTGGTTGTGGGGACCTCGGCAGCCTGCTGGGGACCTTACGGTAGCTGTCCATGGCAATGCCTGTCCGGTTCTATAGCTCTTCCTCCTCCGGCACAGATACGGTGCAGGCACAGCCATGGACAGCCCCAAAATGCCCGGAATAGGCCCCGATACCGCCCAGGATTACAGGTGCAGGGTTTGCAGGTACATATACAAACTGTCATATAGACTTTGCTAACTGACAGACACCCTGATCTGCGATATCCTCCAAAGAGTATAATTTTTATAAGTACATATTCTGTTCTTTAGTATTATTTTTGTGTTCAGTTAGACACTGGTGGGTGGTGGAGCTGCCGGGTGGGTCTGTGTTCCTTACCTATAGTTATGCTGTGGACTTCAATGAACAGTACGTGCGTTATTTCATGTATCCTAGTAACGTTTGAACATAGGAGTGTCAAGGAAAATTCCTGTCCTTGACCATTGATGTATAAACAATATCACAAAACATCCACTATTTTGAAATATCGCTAGGCTGGCTTATTATATTGTATTAATTCATGAATGTTACCTTCTCCTTGATAATACACAGTGCTTACAAAAGAGAACGCATCAACTCATGCAGGCTACTTCTAGTCTTAAAAGTGGGCCTTTACCCCCTTTGCCTAACACTCACATTAGCGTGCAGCTCTGCATGCTGATATGAAATTGTCTTACATTCATTAGCTAAACATATTTTTATTTTACTTTAAATTTCTTTTTTTTCTACTTCCTAGTCCACTTGGGCACAAATGATGTAGGAGATGTCCTTGAACTGGAAAGAGTGCAGAGGAGGGCAACCAAAATCATAAAGGGGATTGAGGACCTGAGTTATGAGAACAGGCTACTAAAATTAAACATGTTCTCCTTGGAAGTAAGGAGATTAAGGGGGGGGAGACATGATTTTCATGTATAACATGTTTACCGGGGATAGCAACATTAGCAGCAAACTTTTTACAATTAACTCGATGACAAGGACGAGAGGCCACCACTTAAAATTGGTAAATTGGTGGAGAAAAAATGTCAGCACAAGGGGCGAAGGGGTTTCTTCAGTTAGATCGGTCAAGGTATGGAACTCGCTGCCACATGCTGTGATTTCGGCTGAGAGTGTAGAATAATTCAAGAGGCGACTGGACGATTTCCTGAGGGACCATAATATACAGGGGTACAAGTACTCTTAAAATTGAGAACACACAGGGACCTATACATACTACACACCAATAGGACCATACACACATACACAAATAGGTTGGACTTGATGGACATATGTCTTTATTAAACCTCAAATACTATGTGACTATGTAATCGTGCCCAAGCATTGCATCCTGGGAAGGTTACATCGGCAGTGTATTTACTGGGAAATCTCATCTGTAATCTTATGAGATCTTAGGGAAAGGAATTTTCCTCCCCTGAGATGATGTGCATGGTCACTTGTCCTAGTCACATGTGCCAGAGTACCAGGAAGTAAAGGGTGATAGCCCTTAGTTAAAATGACCACTGTGAGAAGAATAGGGAGGAAAAGAGAAATAAGGTATGCAAAGAATACAAAACCGGCATCTATCTAGAAAGATCTGTTTGTAGATTGTCATTATTAAACATTTCTAAAGGTGCCTTGTTCCTATTTTGAAGACATGTGCAAAGTTCCTCTTTAAGATGTAGAGATACCTGTGGTGCTGTGGGTGGTCCTCTGTTAAAAATCATTAAAGACCAGGATCTTCTTGAGGTCCTCAGTGAGGAGATAATGATGACTCTGTACAGTTCACCCTATAAACACTGTTAGCGCTAGTAAGTGGTGCATTTGTGCAATTTTTTTTTCCAGGTTGAGCATTATGATCACATGAGGGGGGTATTTGGCACACATTTGCAACACCTGCCAAGGATTTTAATGCACTGAGTCGCAGGCTCTGCAAACAATTCTGCAACAACACAGGAATAGTCCACTTTTGCAAAAAAAAAAGATATAACAAAGAGCTAAAGTACAGGTCAATTTGTTTTAAATTACTTAAAAATTACTTGTGTGATTGGCTCACTGCTTTTACCAGAAATATGCACTGTGATACAAGCCAAGTTTTAGGCAAACCCTCATAAACAAAAAAAACAAATAATATGATATTTTTTTATTATAGTATACACTGCCTGGCCAGAAAAGGCAAACACTCTAATATTTAGTTGGACTGCCTTTAGTTTTGATTATGGCACGCATGCACCATGGCATTGTTTGATAAGCTTATGCAATGTCACAACATTTATTTCCATCCAGAGTTGCATTCATTTTTCACCAAGATCTTGTAGTGATGATGGGAGAGTCGGACCACTGCATAAATGATTGTCCAGCACATCCCAAAGATTCTCAATGGGGTTAAGGTCTGGACTTTGGTGGCCAATCCATATGTGAAAATGATGTCTCATGCTCCCTGAACCACTCTTTCACAATTTGAGCCCAATAAATCCTGGCATTGTCATCTTTGAATTTGCCCGTGCCATCAGGGAAGAAAAAATCCATTGATGGAAAAACCTGGTCATTTAGTTTTTTTCAGGTAGGCAGCTGACCTCATTTTTTGGGCACATAACATTGCTGAACAGAGACCTGACATACTGAAACAACTCCAGAGCATAACAC